AATCCTTGCTCAACTTGTACTCTCACAGCCTAAGAGGAAAGCAATGGCAAACATCCTGTGAATGTTTGTATTGCTATAAGTCCAAGTTGATATCAAAGGTGATAGCAAGAATAGTATGTGAGGGTGCATCTACACTTCAGAAATAATGCAGTTTGATACCACTTCAATAATGATGGCTTAATGCTATGGAGTCCTGGGATTTTTAATTAGAACTCTAAAAGAGCTATCCAAGGTGCTAAACTTGCACTGAGACTAGGAATAATGCAACATGAACTGCATTTAGACCAGTCATGGGCAAACTTTGGACCTCCAGGTGTTTTGGACTTCAACTCCCACAATTCCTAATAGCCAGAGTTGAAGTCCAAAACACCTGGAGGACCAAAGTTTACCCATGCCTGATCTAGACTGTAGTACAATGAATGCAGTTTGACATCACTTGCCATGACTCAATGCTATGGAATCATGGAATTGTAGATTTACAAGGTCTTTCGCTTTCTCAACTAAAGAGGGCTGGTTCCTTATAAAACTATAACTCCCATGGTTACATAGAATGGACTTATGGCAATTAAAGTGTTGTCAAGCTGCATTCATTCTATGGTCTAGAAGCAGGCTGATGCAGAATCATGACCAGAATCTTGTCCATTATTAAATACACATAGAATCATAGAGTTGGAAGAGACCTCCTGGGCCATCCAGTCCAACCCCATTCTGCCAACAAGCAGGAATATTGCATTCAAATCACCCCTGACAGATGGCCATCCAGCCTCTGTTTAAAAACCTCCAAAGAAGGAGCCTCCACCACACTCCAGGGTAGAGAGTTCCACTGCTGAATGGCTCTCACAGTCAGGAAGTTCTTCCTCATATTCAGATGGAATCTCCTTCTTGTAGTTTGAAGAGTAATCCCTGCTCATCCTGAAACTCATCATCTCATGGCATAGACATTGAGAACTGGGAAGCTCTGACCCTTGAGCTCTCCAACTGGAGATCAGCTGTGACTAGCAGTGATGCAGAATTCAAAGAGGTACAACTGGAGGGTGAAAGGGAGAAATGTGCTAATAGGAAGGTGCATCAAGCCAATTCTGATCAGGACCACCTTCCACCTGGAAACCAATGTCCTCACTATGGAATAACATGCAGATCAAAAATAGGGCTCCACAGTCACCTACATATCCACTGCCAAGACACTACACATGGAAGGCCATCATACTCAGACAATGAGGGATCCCCTAAGTAAAAAGTCTATCACACATGCAGCAATGGTTTTGTTTGCTTCCATGTATGGCCTTGCATCACAGAACTGGGAAGCACGCATATCATTCTGTACTATCTGAAATAACTGTTTTTAATTTACTGTCGAATGTACTGGGTTCCATCAAGCAGCAGACATTCATGCTGTGCAAACTGTTCAGAGCAGGCAAGATTTCTTCAGTTCCAGGGATAGGAAGGGCAGATGGTCACTGTATTAATCCCAAAGAGAACAATCTAACCAGATTTCTGGCAAAGTATGAAGTTGTGAGATGAGAATATATGAGCAGGATGACAATTTTATCTCTGCCAAATCTGGCTAGAGAATAAAAGACCACAATTGTTCTGATCGCAAAGCTGCCGACATTTTGGAAATGCCTTTGAAACAGGAAATAAAGGTCTAGCAGTTGGGAAGTCTTGATTCTGGATTATCAGATGAGCTTTATAAACAGTTTCTGCATGGGCAAGCTAGAGACGGATTCCTTCATGAAATTTACTTTTTGTTTTGAACCCAGTACTGTCAAAATGCTCACTACTACAAGGGTTGAATGAAAAGTAATGCCTCCACCTTCGTTACTTGGGGTTGGATGGGAATATTTTCATCCTGGAAAGAAGTGACGAGTGGAGTGCCGCAAGGTTCCGTCCTGGGCCCGGTCCTGTTCAACATCTTTATTAATGACTTAGATGAAGGGCTAAAAGGCATGATCATCAAGTTTCAAGATGACACCAAATTGGGAGGGATAGCCAATACTCCAGAGGACAGGAGCAGGATTCAAATCGATCTTGACAGATTAGAGAGATGGGCCAAAACTAACAAAATGAAGTTCAACAGGGACAAGATCAACTACACCCAAGAGTATTGAAGGAACTAGCGGAAGTCATTTCGGAACCATTGGCAATCATCTTTGAGAGTTCTTGGAGAACAGGAGAAGTTCCAGCAGATTGGAGGAGGGCCAATGTCCTCCGTCCGGTCAGCCTCACGTCGATACCAGGCAAGATTCTGGAAAAGATTATTAAGGAAGTGGTCTGCAAACACTTACAAACAAATGCGGTCATTGTTAATAGTCAACATTATTCAAGCACAAATGGCAACGTCTGATAATTGCCTATAAAAACAAGTCATGCCAGACTAATCTGATCTCTGTTTTTGATAGAGTTACAAGCTGGGTAGATGTGGGGAATGCCGTGGATGGAGCGTACCTGGATTTCAGTAAGGCCTTCGACAAGGTCCCCCATGACCTTCTGGCAAGGAAACTAGTCCAATGTGGGCTAGGCAAAACTACGGTGAGGTGGATCTGTAATTGGTTAAGTGGACGAACCCAGAGGGTGCTTCTCCCCAATGCTTCCTCTTCATCCTGGAAAGAAGTGACGAGCGGAGTGCCGCAGGGTTCCTTCCTGGGCCCGGTCCTGTTCAGGATCTTGATTAATGACTTAGATGAAGGGTTAGAAGGCAGGATCATCAAGTTTGCAGATGACACCAAATTGGGAGGGAGAGCCAATACTCCAGAGGACAGGAGCAGGATTCAAAACGATCTTGACAGATTAGAGAGATGGGCCAAAACTAACAAAATGAAGTTCAACAGGGACAAATGCAAGATACTCCACTTAGGCAGAAACAACGAAATGCAAAGATATAGAATGGGGGACGCCTGGAGTGAGAGCAGTATTAATTCAGCTACAACCTACAAAGTTCTGTGCAGCAGCATACAAAATCCGTCAGGGAATGACTAGTCCCAAAAGTTAACTGTGTGTCCAGTAATCTTCTTCTCTGAATCTACAATTTGGTGATGGATCTGGGCATTGTATGTTTTTACCCTGTTTCCCCTTCCCTTCTGCTCCCTCACCCATACTGTGCTTCAGGAGTTATATTTATATTTTTAGTGTACCAAACATACCAAGTTTGTATGGAAATGTAACTATTTTCTGTGCTGGTCAATGACCGAAATAAATGATTTGATTTGATTTGAATGGGGGACAATGCCTGACGTGAGAGCAGTACGTGTGAAAAATATCTTGGAGTCCTCGTGGATAACAAGTTAAACATGAGCCAACAATGTGA